CGTGGAAATCTGGACTAGGGCTAGATTTTTCACGTGCAATAAATCAGAAGCCTTCATTGTGCGGCGTTTTGGCTTGCAGCGTTTTTCCGGTGGTCATGCAGTGGCAATTTGCCCAGCAAAAACCGCCACAGCCTCCTGTGGAGGATCCGCAACCTGACTTTGGAGCCCTTGGGTTTGCATGAAGTGCTCGTATTTACATGTTTAGATTATTTAGATTCATCAAGTGCTTCCCCACGATGAAGTGCACTGTAGTACTGTGCTGGTACAACGTGGAACCCCACAGCATGACCAGTTCTGACAGGATGATAAAGTACAGCTACGTACGGTTTCAAACACAGCTTGTGCAGATAGCCTACCTTTTCACCTCAAGAGGTCAACAGGCTGGAATTCGATCAAATTCAGATGGTCTCCCTGTTTTTCGATTGTGCCTCGCCCTTTGTTTGCTGTGCTGGTATGCCGCACGATGCCTATTTTTGTCCCCCCTCCCAGGACATCTCACTTCTATCCATAAAGGTAGTCCCCAGAGATGGCCTTGCCACTTTGTGATGTTTCCTCACTGGCACAGTGCGCCCTGCTTGAGTGGCCAGGCCATGGGTGGTGTGGGGAAGGTGTCCCCGTGCCACAACTTGTTTATGTCTGCACGAACTGGCCAAGGATCCACACTTCATGGACATCAATTGGGGTCCAGGGTCATCAGGCAGTACTGGTCGTAGTTATGTACTTTGCTTCGCGCCATTGCGCTGTTGTGCCAGGTGGCCTTCTGCAGCTGCTTAGAAGTAGGACCTCTGCAGTCCGAATTCTACAGTAAAGTATATTCGGCGTCCAGCATCGTTGGCCTTTCAATCAGACACAACTAATGGTGACCAACCTAAGAGCGATGACCTCCAACCTAGAAGCACTGGCATGGTATGAGAGCGCAGGGAGACGTTGGTAACATTTCCTGTGAATGGTGATCCTCTATGTCGTTTGAACATGACGTGCCTGTTGCTATGGGAGCTTCTGTCTCCTTGTGGCCCAAGGGCACGCTTCTGTGTAGAAAGCATTTATACAGCGTTGTACATAGATCTGTCTTACAGTAAGTGTGTGGAGTGGTGTTCTGGACCCTTAGCTGTACCAGCCGGTGCATCACGCTCATGGAGCGAGTGAACGGATACGTGCCCGTCCTACAAATTCACTGCAATGCTGCTGTGCCTCACAGATGGTGCCTGTTGTTGTTGTTGTTGTTGTTCTTGTTGTTGTTGTTGTTGTTGCTGTTCCTGTTGCTGCTGCTGCTGCTGTTGTTGTTGTTGCTGCTGCTTACCGCCTCCCAAACTGACTGCAGGTCAACATGGCACGCAAGCATGTGAACATATATTGTCATGCCCGTCTGCACATGTGGGTTGCGAGCTGGCTTTCTTGCATATTTCTTGATTTGCCCAAGGCTTGCTTCTCCTTGCTATGTCCAGTCTTGTGCTAACACTGTTGTGGAACTTGTTGGCAAGCTCCAGCAATGCTTGTTTGCGAGTGTAACGAACGCATGCCGGGATGGCAATGTTGCATTAGTGTTCAATTTTGACACTCCTTGTAGGGTACGGCACATCCATGACCAGCGGCTAGTTGGCTGTTTTCAAAATTTGGGATCAAGGATTCCGGCCCAAGGACCTGCCAAGCAGGAAGCTGACCAGTGATTCCTTGCCCGCTCCACTCCAGCCGCCTTTGCCCCCGTGGAATGATCCGTGTCCCGATGCCGACTTGCTGGAACCTTGGCAAAGCGAGGACGTTGATGTAAGTCACATGGTGAGGATACACGCATAGACTAGATGAAGAGTACGAAAGATGAACATGTTACAGGCATTTTGCATTGGTTTCAATACCATGAATGCTCACATCATTGTTCTTTTGCAAGGCAGGCAATGGCGGGAACTCTGACATTCAAACATATTTTGTTAAAGGAAGCAGCTGGTTGCTACCGGCTTTCAAAAGGCGTTCTGGTTTGGAGGCAGGCAAAGGACCCTTCGCAGTGACTAGGACTAGGACTGAGGCAGTAGGCCCTGCTTCAGAAAAAGGTTACCCGTCGCTGCAACAAGTCAAGCCACACTGAAAGGCTGACACCAACAACTTCATCCATAGGATTTTGTGGTTATTTTGTGCCGACAAAACCAAAGGTCGGGCAGGAGCAAAGAGCCGTGGAAGACGGAAGAATCCAAGGAAGAACACGGGAACACACCTCAGCCAGCACTTTTATTCAAAGACCGCAGGAAAGGACCCATCACATATGGCTCAGGACACGGTACCCACATGCAACCTCCGCATCAAAGCACATTGCGCTCCAGCCAGAAGCTCACAATTCAGCATAGAGTCTAGGTGACTTCACCCCAAATGAAAGATCCACGATTGCGATGCGGGGTGAGCGCGCTGGTCAACCGTGCCTTTTAGCCAGCGTGCTGGTCGTCACTTTCGCCTTAAAGCAATGCCATGTCTCCATGAGTCCCAACAGAATATGACAGGTGTAGCGTTCGAAGCTACGTTCGAAGCGTCCTTGCTGCTAGTAATGACAGGAGCTACTAGTAGCGATGCCCTTGTTGCTAGTATATAGCTTCTTGTTCCTTAAAGGTAACAAATTCATGATGTAAACACTGCTAAGCCTGGCGGACATCAAGCGCAGCAAAAACTGCACATGCAAGAAGGTGCACACAGTTCAATTCTGATGCCATACTACTTCCAGAGTGCCATCAGCGATGTGAAGCAAAAGACTGGCCCCAAATGCCCTAGTAGCAAGGCAGTCTTATGAAGGCTTCTCCCCATTGGCACAATATGAGGCATGTAAACCAGAGCGATAAATGTGTTCAACAGAAAAACTGAAATTGTGCATCTCGGCAAAGTGCACTGAATTGAGAGTATTGAAGATTGCAAAAGCGGGTCTTTGCGAACTAGAGGTCTCGGCCGCATATGAGATCCAATAGACCATCAGAGAGCTGAAACAAACACATTGCTTGGGTGTCATTTTTCCTTCGTGCGTATATACTACTAGTATCAAAGTCGGCGCAGAATCAAGCTCCCTGGCATGTCCCGAAAGGTTGAGCCTAGTGTCCATCTCATCGAAGCCATGGGAAGTACTTGCTGTTGTGTTTGGTGTTACAGTATTGTTTATAGTAGTTGAGGTCTGATTGCCATCTCATTTGTGATATACATATATAGTTATATATATATATGTATCCTTTTTCCTGTCTTTATTTTTCTCTTACCTTTCTCATTTCCTTCCTGGGAAGCCAAACTTGTTTCTTATGGTTTTTCTATAAGAGTTAGAAGGAGAAGCAGCAAAGGAAGGAGGAAAGGTGAGCTTGAGCTGAGGCGTGCTTTGCCTTGTCTTTACCTAGGACCTAAGTTTTACAGCTACAGGCGAAAGCTGCTGGTTCTCTTGTTGCATGTCTATTGACAGCAGAAGCCTCATGGGCTATTTTTTTTTCCATAGACCCTTCCATGTCTCTTTTAGGTTGGTGAAGGGATGGGAGTGGGTCAGTGATGAGTCAGTGATGAACAATATTGAATTCAATTCAAGGCATCACGGCATCACTCCGATCCCTCAATGAGTCCCAAGGCAACCCAGTCATCTGACTGTCATATGTATGACAGTCATCTGATTGTCACACGTATGACACAATGTATGACTCCATTGACTTTGACGGTCTTACAGGTCATATGAAGGCGGCATGCTTTTGGGACACTGCCTCTGTGCTCCCCGTCAAATATCTAGTTTTTAGTATATGCCCAAACCTAACCAAAGAAGCTGACATATTTAAAAGAAAAAACACCCTCACTCACCTGGACCTATACCAGGATCAGAGCTCTGCTGCCCCTTGAAAAAGAGACAATCCTGTGCGGTGAGCGCGCAGGTGAGCGCGCAGGGTGCCTGTGTAGAGGGGCTTGGGATTCCAAAACGCCACCAGCTTAAGGAGCTGCGGCCGAGAAGCAGGACATTGAGCAACTCCTTGCTGCCCATTCCGGCGCAGCCTCCTTCACCTCCCTGCAAGGATCCATGTCCTGTCGTGTTCGAATCTTGGCCGAATACATTCAGCGCTGCCACTGACACACTGAAACCAATGATTGCCACTGACACACTGAAACACCTCATAAGGACATGACGGGGAACACTTATAGTGGCGTTGGATGTGCGAACTAACTAGGATTCTTTCACCTTGAAACATGCAAACTGTGAACCATGTCCCTGAGGTGAAATCATTACCAGTTGGGCACTTCGATTCGGAGAGAGTCGATTCGTGTCTCACCCCGTCCCTAGCCGCTTGGCTTGCTGTTTTGTGCTTGATCACGGCAGTAGTGGGCACCACTCAACGACATGATAAACCTTTTCACAGCTGTGAATGGAGAATCTAGGACGAGGACTGTGCTTTGGTAAGAATGATAAGATCTTCGAAAGATTCAACATCATTATTCTTCAAGATCACACATGTCAGAAGTACTTTGTTGAGGAGAAACCAACGAGGGACAAATCGTATTCGGAGACGACCTGCGATTCCATCTTGTCCACAACCACAGCCACCTGGCGGCATACTTGGTGTCGGGAGGCCAGGGAGCGGCGCCCCTCGTGACAGGTCAGCGGTCCCAGTCATTGTTGTGGAGTCCCGGTCATGTTTGAGATCGTCAAATGTTTTTGTTTTTTCTAGTCTTAGTCATCGTTGGGTGTTATGAGTGGACATGGTTGCATGGTTTCGTGGCTATTCTGCCTATTTTTTAATGGTGTTTGCCTTGTGACGTCAAAGCAGCTGTTCAGGTCATGTTTGTGTCCTGCACTTTCTTTCTTTTTCTGGTGCTTCTTGCTTTTCGTTTCGCTGCGGCTTCATTTTGCTATTTAGGATGTTCACTCAAAAAGCATGAAGGGACGACTTGGCTGTGGCTTGTTGATTTTGTTTCTCGGGCACGTCGACAAAAGTCTGATGGCAGCCGCAAGGACACAATTCTAAAATGGTTCAGAATTCCAAGGCATCTTCTCTGAAGGAGCAAAGATGGCGCTGTTCGCCCCCTATCTCACCTGTGGCTTTGAAGCAATATTGACTACTGAGTACTGTAGTGGGACTTCTGACGGAATCTTTCATTGGCTCAGTGATAGACGTTGTTTCGTGCAGGTAGTAGTGCGCGGTGCACAACGAAAGATTGTGTTCCTTGATGTCGATGGAGTTCCTGCCCCGGAGAGCAGAGCAATGTTGAACTTGCAATCTTTGTTTGAGCTGAGCGGGCAAAGAATTCCGGAAGGTCGTCTCAAGCCCTCATGTCCGACAGGTGCTCCATGCGGCAAACTACGCTCCTACCTCGTTTGCAAGGCCCTGCATGGAGGTGAGGTGTTTTTGAGGAAGATGTACAGTATGCTAATCACAAGTGATCAACCAACTAAGCTTTTCTCAAACAATTAATTCACCTGGTGTTGGTTGTCCAGGCCTTGGCAATGATCTACAGAGAAACAGGTGCTGATATCATTCTCTCCTCTACTTGGCGTCTTTGGGAAAACAACACCGGACGTGATGCTGTGGACAAGGCTCATTCCGGTAATAGACGTCCCGCCTTTGACATCGAAGGGAGTGAAGATCTTGTTTCTGAAGGAGTCAGCTTTTCAATGGATGTCAAGGTGTTTTGACCCGTCGTATCACCACAGATCGCAGCAGTTCCACTGCGGATCTTATCATAGGAAACCACCACAGGATACATGAAAATTACAGCTCCACCACACCTACGACAGGTTGCTCACCGATTGCACACCCTTTCAGGCCCTGGTTCGCTTTGGCCTGCCCAAGACCGTAGGTCTAACGCCCGACCTACAAGGCGGAGGCTGGAGCTGCTTTCGGGTGCCAGGTTCAAACCGATCTTCGATTGGAATCGAACCCGGGTCGTTTGCTGGCGAAAGGCCGAGCAGAGGAGATTCGAGAGTATCTCAAAACGCTCCCAGACAGACCGGAGTGGTGACTTGGCCGCTTCTTACAACGTGAGTTGTTGCAATCTGGGCTTGGAATCCAATTTTGTGGATGTATGCACATATATGGTATGTATATATATATATTATACATACACATACTGTACATACATACACATACACTGGCCAGACAAAAGTTATGCTTCTTGAAGCACAAACTCACGTCAACCCTTACCCCCTAGAAGTACTAAATCTTTCATTGGAGAGAGCCTGTTTTCACAATTTAAAAAGTCAAAAAAACAAAAAGAAGTCAATCCCAAAAGTCAAAGTCAAACGAAAATAGAATCAGAAAGTTTCAGAAAGTCAAAAAAGGTCAATTTGCCCAGATCCGATTTTTATGACGTTTTTTTTTTTTCTTTCGCGTTTCTTTTTTCGACTTGTTTTGGACATTTTTTTGACATGTTTTTTCGACTTTCTTTTTTCCGAGTGGTTGACTTTTTGTTTGACATTTTTCTTGTCTTTTTTCGAGTTTTTTTTTGATTTTGACTGTTTTTGATTCTTTTGTTTTGACTTTTTTTCCGACTTTTTTAAGACTTTTTTTTTTATTTATTACTATCTTTTTTTTTTTTAAAAGTTTACTTTTTCGAGCTGTGGTCTATGTTTGACTTGTTTTTGACTTTTCGACATTTTTTGTGACTTTCATTTTTCCCGAAAGCATTGCGAAGGGTTCTTCCAGAAAATCCCTTGAACACTGACACTTCGACACTTACACTTACACACTGACACTTCCACACTTGCACTTGAACAAAAGCATCCAAGGGTAAGTATGCAAGTGTAAGTATCCAAGTGCAAGTATGCAAGTATGAGTATGGAAAACTTGCACGGGAGATGTACTAATGAAAAACATTTTGAAAAACATTTCCCCACCTTATAGATTCTCTCTAAAAGGCGGAGGGTGGGACGAACAGCGTCAACCGAAAATGCAACCCTCTGCGGAGATCGTGCGTGTCGAGTATTTGTCGTATGCGCGCGCAACCCTCTGTGGAGATCGTGCGTGTCGAGTGCGCGAAATGCAGGCGAGAGTGCAATTTGTCCGGTGTGCGCGCAACCCTCTGCGGAGATCGTGCGTCACGAGTGCGCGAAATGCAGGCGAGAGTGCGATTTGTCGTATGCGCGCGCAACCCTCTGCGGAGATCCTGCGTGTCGAGTGCGCGAAATGCAGGCGAGAGTGCGATTTGTCTGGTGTGCGCGCAACCCTCTGCGGAGATCGTGCGTGTCGAGTGCGCGAAATGCAGGCGAGAGTGCGATTTGTCTGGTGTGCGCGCAACCCTCTGCGGAGATCGTGCGTGTCGCGTGCGCAAAATGCAGGCGAGAGTGCGCTTTGTCGGGTGTGCGCGCAACCCTCTGCGGAGATCGTGCGCGTCGAGTGCGCGAAATGCAGGCAAGAGTTCGATTTGTCTGGTGCCCGCACAACCCTCTGCGGAGATCCTGCGTGTCGAGTGCGCGGAATGCAGGCGAGAGTGCGATTTGTCCGGTGTGCGCGCAACCCTGTGCGGAGATCGTGCGTGTCGAGTGCGCGAAATGCAGGCGAGAGGGCGATTTGTGAAATTACCGCGCAACCTTCTGCGGAGATCGTGCGTGTCGAGTGCGCGAAATGCAGGCGAGAGTGCGATTGGGTCAGTGCGCGTGCAACTTTTTGCGGAGATCGTGCGTGTCGAGCGGAGTGCGATTTGACCTTTTCCCGCGCAACCCTCTGCGGAGATCGTGCGCGTCGCGTGCGCGAAATGCAGGCGAGAGTGCGATCTGACCTGTTCCCGCGCAACCCTCTGCGGAGATCGCGCACAGGCGGGAGTATCTGGGGAGCTGGAAGATGAGAACTGGCGACTTTGTAGTACAACTTAGTGCACGGAGTATCTGTGGAGCTGGGAAATGAGAACTGGCGACTTTGTAGTGCAACTTTAGTACGCGGAGCAATCTGTGGAGCTGAGAACTGGCGACTTTGTAGTACAACTTGAGCACGCGGAGTCTCTGGGGAGCTGGAAGATGAGAACTGGCGACTTTCTAGTACAACTTTAGTACGCGGAGCAATCTGTGGAGCTGGAAGATGAGAACTGGCGACTTTGAAGTACAACTGTAGTGCGCGGAGCAATCTGTGGAGCTGGAAGCTGAGAACTGGCGACTTTGTAGTACAACTTTAGTACGCGGAGTATCTGGAGAGCTGGAAGATGAGAACTGGCGACTTTCTAGTACAACTTTAGTACGCGGAGTGTCTGGGGAGCTGGAAGATGAGAACTGGCGACTTTGTAGTGCAACTTTAGTAGTACGCGGAGTATCTGGCGAGCTGGAAGATGAGAACTGGCGACTTTGTAGTACAACTGTAGTACGCGGAGCAATCTGTGGAGCTGGAAGCTGAGAACTGGCGACTTTGTAGTACAACTTTAGTACGCGGAGTATCTGGAGAGCTGGAAGATGAGAACTGGCGACATTCTAGTACAACTTTAGTACGCGGAGTATCTGGGGAGCTGGAAGATGAGAACTGGCGACTTTGTAGTGCAACTTTAGTACGCGGAGTATCTGGGGAGCTGTAAGATGAGAACTGGCGACTTTGTAGTACAACTTTAGTACGCGGAGCAATCTGAAAACCCCCCCTAGTAAAACTGGCGACTTTGTAGTACAAACTTTAGTACGCGGATGAGTCATCTCTCGCGGCTGAGTCATCTCTCGCGGCTGCTCTGGCGCCCCTGCAGCTGAGTCATGTCTCCCGACCACCCGGCTCTCTTGAGAGGTTGACACACGCACAGAGACCCACGCACTGCCTCAACTTACTCGGACACACACACAGACAGAGACTCATACACACACACAGACATAGATACACACACACGCAGAGACCCACACACTGCCTCAACTCACTCGACTTGACACTTCACACTGAACACTTAACAGATAACTCACACTCTGACTTCCTACGTGATGAAAAATGCTTTCGGGCCACTCGTCGTCTAGCTTTTAACTTTTCAATTTGACTTTTTGTTGGACTTTGACTTTTCCAACTGCTTATTTTTGATTATTTTTTGTTTTTAAAATCAAGGACTCTGGCCTTACCATATGAAAGAGTTTTGTAACCCTAGAATCCTACATTGGGAGAACTGGGGCCGTGTGTGGGCGGTCATCTTTCACACCGGGAAGCCTTTAATATAAACATATATACATATTAACGGTGTGATAATGACCGTCCCACACCTGCCATGAAAATTGGACTTGGTAATTCGATCCGCAGCTGACCCTACAGAGTTCTTTGAACATGGTTAACAAGCATAATAAACTTTTGCCTGCTCGAAGTATCCATGCGTTTTTTGGAGATTGGCGGGAAGTGGCCAAGGTAGGTTTTGTTGGCGGTTTGCTAATGGCCATTTAAAGAGTGCACATTGCTTCTCAGAAAGATACATGCGACGTTTGAACATTGCCTGAACGATTTTGCATTGTGCTGCAAGGATTGCCTTGGATGACATTGACATGCGTAGAGAGCTAGGTGAGCTGGGAATGCATTTTGTCAACAGTCTTTTGCAAAACTGCATTAGTCGCTGTATGAAAAAGAAGGAATTCAAAACCATAGAATTCCAGCACAAATTTTTTAACGCCCTTTGCCGCAGGAAGACGCAGCATTGTGACCCCAGCTAAGACGGGGTTGAGAATGAAGCATGCTCGTCTGGCAATCGCTGTGCTCAATGTGTCTTGGCCGCACTGCCACTTCCTCCTGAATGGTTGAGTGTCACGAGTGCATCGTCTCCGTGTTTTCTGAAACAGTAAGCGAACGAGACGATGCAAAACGCAACTTTCGTTTACGTGTCTCACTTTCCGACGATCTGAGGACTTGCCTTTCAGCATCGACAGCGAGTGGGTAGCCTCGAGCATGGGCTTTGTGAATTCTGAACAAGTCTGAGGCCTCGAAGGAACAAATTGACCAATACCATCCAATACCGTACTTGTATGTTCCTTTTCACAGCCTTGTTTTTCGGGGAATCGACTTCCTCGAGAGGCTGAAAGCTCCAAGCCACACTGTCTCAAGGATAACCACCAAAAGAACAACATTCAGCAAAACGCTCTGACTACTGTAGAACCCGCGACGAGCATGGTATGGTCCATCATGGCTGCCATTGAGATTTGCCTGACTTGAAAACCTAGAGTGAAACCAAGAGTGATTCAACTTTTGTCTTCGAGAGGCACAGATGAAGTAACATGCAATGTCTGTAGCCGTTTGCTGCCCCCAGTGTTGCTGAACATGATGCTTGGAAAGAGAATGGAGGAGGACACAGAGCAGGACGCTCTCTTTGGAGAGAAGAGCAGACACTCGCACGTGAGCAGGAGGGTTTTCTTTGCCCTTAAAGCCTTAGGCTTTTGCCATTTGATGAATTTTAAAGCGTGGTTGAAATTGTCTAGCTGTTCCTGTGCAAGCATGTGTGGAGTGTGGTTGGAATGTGCACAAGACAATACCTTACTACTTTACTGCTTGACTCTTTCTTCCTCCACCCATCAGGTTGGGGTGTCTAGATTCTCACGTCAGGTACGCCACCCTCCTTCCTCTTTTTGTCCTCGTCGTCCTTTTCATCCGCATTCCTCGCCTACACCAGCTGACGAAGCAAGCCAAGCATCATACCAAACCTCAAACTCATGCCAGACATGTCATACAAAATCTCAGAAAACTCCACATTAACATCAACACATCAACACACGGCATGCACAAATTAACACACATCAAATCACCTGACTACTGTACATGATGCTGAAAGCATCACATCACGTTGACGCTCTAAAGAATTCTGGCTCAGGCGTATACAGTAAATGGAGAGGACGTCCCTTTTCCTGTGCGGCCGGAGCAGAAGAAGGTCGCACCATTCGCAGCCTATTTGCCAGCATGGACAGGAACCAGTTGCCCAGTAAGGAAACGCTTCCAACTTTGCGGCTAACAATTTGCCAGCGTACTTCCCAGTTGGGTTCCTCAATCAGGTACAGGCACACTTTGCCAGAGTGTTCCCACCGGTAAACGCACAGCCACTTCTCAACCCAGGCCACAAAGGTGCCCCTACCCTTCTTACGACACGAAGGACCAGACATGACCTTCATCACGGGACGTAGTGTCACAGTCAGCAGCCAGACCTTGGCAGTTGTGACTGCAGAGCTGCAAAGCCGGAGCTACGTTTGGGAGTGGCAATCATTTGAAGTGGACCAAGTTTGACCGTGCATGACTTAGATATGTACTCATGCGAAACCAAGGCAGGAGGACAACTGTGGCTGAAGCCCTTGATCAACTGGATGTTGGCAGATTTCATGTCCAACACTTGTTGCGGATGATTTTGGCATGGGTGATCTTCGCAGCAACCCAAGAGAGCACGCCCTACGTCTTCCAAGGTGTGGACACGGACATTCTCCACCATTACAATCAAGTCCTGACCGACGGATTAGTCAGAGCCAATCCTGAGGATGCCTAGGAGGTTCTGGCTTTTCAGATGCAACAACATAGAAGGTGACCCACTAGTGAAATCTCCTATGAGACTGACGAAATGACCACAGGAAAGGTTCAGTGGAGCTGCGGTTTCAGCAGAGTGATTGCAGGCCTGAGGGCGACCTTTCACGTGGATGAAGACAGCATTGCCACTTGGGTGCTTAAAGTCTGCAACATCCTGGGTTGAACACTGGCATACTTGTGAACAATTCTGGCCTGGATTTTCAGGTACTTTTCAATACTTCCCTTAAACCGTTAGACCTTGTTACTTTATGACCTTTTCTTCAGACCTTCAAAATGAATTGTCCGCTTTGGCTTGGTGGTTGAAGCTTGGACATCCGTTCTTCAGGTCGAACACTGCTGAAGAATTCTTGTCTTGGGTGAACAATGGTGAACATGTTTGTGAACGTTTCCACGTCAAACCGAGGGATCTCCTGGTTTTGAATTGTGAGGTTTTCTTGTTTGGATTCGTGGAGCACCCGGCTGATTTTCTAGGCCACTTTCGCAGCGAGCTTTCCATTGGGCTGTGCAGCTGGAGCTCTTGCGGCGTCTCCACTGCTTGACCACTTGGGAGCCTCAGTGCAAAATGTTCCACTGTGCTTTCCACAGAAAAGAACTTGATGGAGCGCCACACTACAGATCTCAAATGATCCAAAGAACTTGGCCTTTGTACGCTACTAGGAGCAAAGGGCATCGCTACTAGGAGCAAGGACGCTACTAGGGGCTCCTGGCCTTACTACTAGGAACAAGAAGCTACTAGGAGCTTTTACAAGGACTTTAGCTCGTTCTTGGCTCGTCCGATGCTTGGCCTCAGGCCGGCGTGGTACGCTGCTGGCAATTCTGCCTTTGGCTGCAGCTGTGAGTCTGGCTGCTGGCATGGCCCAGAACATCCTAGCCACAAAAGCAGCAGTTAGAGGATGTCAGGAGATTTACCATGTTCTTTTGCCACACGAAGCTTACATCTATTGGCCTTAAGCGCTCCCGTCCGGATTCCTCGAGCTCCTTGGAACACCTCGGGCTTCTTCTTCATCGAAATTGCTACAGCAATGCCAACAATCTGAATTTGTCAGCAAGGTTGAAGAAGTTTGAGGTTGAATGCTCATATCTTCCACTGCTCAGTCTCAGTCTTAGGAGAAAACAATCCCACTCCTGAAACAGCAGTGCACCAGTGTTGAATCATGTCAAATCCCAGGTCCTCAACATTCTGCGGACATTGCAGGCTTTGGCCTTCTCAATCGCCTTGACGGGAATGCCACTGGGCACCAAATTGTTGTCAGAGAACTCAAGGATTCCTCATTTTATTTGACTTGCAAAAAGCGAGGAAGCTTGGTTCTTGAGCTCTCAGTTCATGACAATGACAGCTGTTCGGACCTCAGGTCTGCCTGGTACATCGAATTCTTGCCTACAAGCACGCGCGGCATGCTCATGGCAGCTTATGGCATAGGTTGGCCCATTGGTCGCGCTGTGGTTATTTTGGTCGCATATTTGGTCAAGGCCAGAGGTGTTTCAGAAGCACGCAAGTAAGGAGCAACCTTGGTCTTGCTAGTTATTTGGACGAGGTCATGCAACATATTGTAGATCAGCCCCTCCTGGCAATTTGCACACTGTCTTCACAGTGAAAAGGGTGGTTGGGTGATTCTCGATGCATCAATTTGCTTTGATAGGACTCAGCAGGACTGACCAAGGCAACCAAATCCAACACCTAATCTCTCGCAGTCAACTTAGGAGGCCGCCAACACAGGTCGTTAACGCAAAGGTTGCAGCCAGCATAATGTTGACTGTTGAACAATCAATCCCCCGATATGGAGACGTTGGACCACCTAGGTAGGGGGTTTATTCATTGACAGTGAGCTACCATGAAAGCAAAACACACCTTTGACAATCCAATGGCGGCGCCGTGCAATCCTGGCACTCCCTGCAATGTTCATATGATCTGACTGGATTGTACTTGAAGCAGCCTGCAGAGCAGGTGCTGCTTTTGATGCTACTATGGGCAAGGACGCTACTAGGGGCTCATGGCCTTACTACTAGGAGAAAGGACGCTACTAGGAGCAAAGGGGCATCGCTACTAGGAGCAAGAAACTACTAGGGAGTTGACTTCAATTCAAGAGTCTCCTTGAGCCGGTGCGACCGATGATTCCTCACGGGCTCCCTGCTGCCTTCCTCATACGAAGGCTCTCAATTTAAGCTCTATATTGCAGGAGCAGTGGACACACTTCATGGACGTGTCAATGGTGGGCTTTATGGTCCTGTTTGTGTCCCTGTTCTTAGCAGATGAGTCTCCAAGATTTCTGGCCGCTTCTGGCCGATCGGGAGATGCTGCTCAAGTTCTGAAAAGAATGTACGAGAGCACCCAGCGAGGATCTTGGGAGGCTTTGGCTGCCAAGATTAACTTTCTTTGATAGTAGACACATCCAGACACCGATTATATATTTTGAAAAAGTCGCGAGTCGCGAGGTCGTTGTTTTTTGGCTTTTTTTGGGGCAAGTGCTTTTTCTCGAGCGCATCACTAAGGAGAATCGAGCAGTGTCGCCTGAAATGCATTCGCCAGTGGAAGGCAGATCTCGAGCCAGAGAGCTGTTGCTGAACCGAGAAAATCGGAACCTGCTGAACCTTGGCAAAGCGGGGACGCTTTGTTTTGCCTTTTGCACCTTCTTTTTTTTTAAATGGCTTGTGTTTCACTTGTCCCTGAGGATCTTCGCTTCACTGCTTTTTATGATGCTCTCCAGCACCACTGTTTTGCTGGACACATGGGGTCCTCATTTGTACCATCAACTCCTTACTCCAGATGCTGCAGTAGTCCCACATCGAATCCTGATGCTTTTCAACATGGGGGATCTAGCTGGCATTGTGCCTTGAATGACATCAAGCCTCAAGCATGTTGTTTTTACTTCAATTCTTTCTAGTGTCCTACCAGTACTCAAATACTTATTTCTCCCCAAAACGACTAGGACGTAGATCCTGCGAAGGGTCCTTCAAGGAAGCTTCTACCCCATGTGTTGGGGGTGGGGCACAAGCCCCATTGAAGAGCCCGAACCCTTTAGTGTCCAGCTGTCACTCCTTTTCACGGCTGAACTCCACGCAATTTGTGTATGTATATGTATATGTTTTTTTTTTTATATGTGAACACAAAATTAAGGTACCAATCTTGTGTATGACAACTTTTGAAGTTGCCAAGCGTTCCTCCCTCATTTTTAGAAGGCAGGTGTGGCAACGATGTCCGACTGAAACGATGCCTTGTCAGCTCGTGTCATTGAGCAGCTGACCACGGGCAAAAAATCAATTTTTGAGGTGCTGTCCATCTTTCTCATTGATCATATTGGGCGGTGCGGAAGCTTTGTGATCGGCTTCTTTGTCCAGGGATCTTTGCTGGCGGCCTTGACTTGCTTGGGCAGAAGCACGCCCGCTTACATGTTGGTCACATGGCTGGCTATTATGTGAGCGGCTGTAGTTTGCAAAGCCATAAGCAGTAAAAAACTTTGATGACTTCAGATTGAATCTAGTTTCGACAAGAGTAAAAGCGGTAAGAGGTAGACCAAAATAGAACTTGTATTGCGCGCTTTCATGTTCAACTGCACAGGCTGTGGCTTGTGGTACGTTGAGTTCAGCTTGCCGGTGTTTTGCCTGGGAATCGGCTCAGATGTGGACTTTGGAAGTGTTCCCCACGCAGATACGAGCTACGGCTTTCAGTGTGGCAATGGCAGTCATGCGCTTTGCATCCATTTTGTCACTGAAATTGTCTGCGCAATACGTTGAAGTTTTGAGTGCAGCAAATGCCTTACGCACTCTCGCTGCGCTGCTCATCTTGAGCGGTTTTTTTAGCACGTGCCTGCTGCCCAAAGAGACGGCAAACGTGCCCATGACGGAAGCAAGTACAGATGAAGGGAAGGCCTTTTAAGAGAGGTGGTGCGAGGGCTTGGGGCTCGGAAGTTGTTCTGTTCTGTACGTTCATGACATGATTTATTGTTTTTACTAATTTACAACGGTTTTTGTGTTGATTTTTGGCCTCCAATTCAAGCGGTTGGATTTTGCACATTTTGGAACAGAATCTTTGATCTGAGCTATCACCACATGTCCAGACTGAATGTGCTGCAGCGCTTGGCCGGCACTTGCTATGCAAAGACTTCTGAATAGTGTGCACCGGTGTTTGTGACGCTGATCTAGCTTCAAAGGTCTTTGATTTGTAGCAAGTGCCCCAATCCTCAAATACAGGTCAAGCTTTGTGCAGGTCAAAAGCAGCGAGCGGATGCAGAGTTTGATTCCGACTCAATAAGGACAAATCAACAAAATGTTGAGTCTTTCAACCTTTTCCTGTCCGTTTGTGGCCCATTCCTGCGCCATTCCGAGGTCTGATTCTGATGAGGACCACTGCAGTGAGTCCGAAAGCTTTGGCTCTCATGCTTCGAATTCAGCAGCATAATCTCACTGAACTTGCTTCAATCAGTAGAAGACAAACCTTGCAAAGGCCGTGGCATGCCTGACATAGCCACGATCCTTTGTTTTTGCTGTCGTTGCCTTGGAGTCATGCAGCTCTTTGGACAATCTGGAGGTTCTACTTTTGAGTTCAAGGAGAAGCTTTCAATTGCCCTAATCAGGAGCAAAAGGCAATACATGATAATACATGTATGTTAATTCCACTCAGTTTCCTTGATCCAGTTTGGCCAGTTATGTGTTTAATGCTTTTCCAGTTCTACACATTCCACATAGTCAGACCCCGTATTTGACCAGATCGAGCACTCTCTTAGAATTCTATTGTAGAGCAAGGCTCGAGATCGTCGAGGGGCATTGGACATGCATTGTCTATATAGTCGGTCGAAGCCACCAGAGAGCTGCAAGCAGACTGCGATAGGAAAACACACAGTGACTGAGCAGAATGCCAGTTGAAAGCGGGTTGTCTCACTCACACTGTGTGCAATACCAGACTTGCATCCTTGCGTTCAATGATCTTAAGGGGTGGAGGGCTGAAAAGCTGGGGATGGCTGATAGAATACTCAAGCATCCCATGATATAATGTCAATGGCCTATGTCAGATGTCTTTGAATGAAGGAAGTTTGCTTACTATTTTTTTGTTTGTAGGCTTGGGGCACTGCAGTGCATATGAGACGTCATGCAACAGTTGTCACGACCTGTTATGACCATCCTCAGCTTGGAACTTGCCCTCTCAAAGGGTGGATCTCTATTTTTCGCTCAGCAAGGAGTTTGTGCAGCTTGAAGTCATTCTTGCATGTTTGAAATGGGACAGATGAATGAAGGAGTTCCATCCTCGAGTGTTGGTTTTTTACTGCGTCACATGTCAAGGGAATTATTCTCCAATACTTTTAATTGTGTTCAACTCGCGATGGTGAATGAGGCCGATCGAGCTTAGACTGAACTGTTGGACTGTCATTTGTTTTCATTGGCTTGCTGCATTTACAATGCCAAACTACTTCAGTTGATATGTACTCTGAGCTCAAAGACGTGTTACAGTACAGGGTGGTGGGAGGAGCGTAGGTCTCGGGTACTCAGCCGTCCTGATTCGGTTCCGCGGTTTAGTCGCAAATGGTCACCAGGTCATCGGACAGGATGTTGTTCAAGGTATTCCACTAGAAGCAATTGAGCCCAAATCTGTGCTTCCATGCAAATGGTGTTGCTTATTGATGGCATTGCACGGTGCACGAAGCAACTGCGGTGGACAGAGCAACTCAGAACTCAGAGCCGAGCTGTTGCCCTGGTGATGTCGCCATGGAGCAAACCCTTGGTGCCCGACGTGCCCACAAAAGAGAGCTTTGTCGCTGAGTCATGTGGACATAATGGGATAGGGCCAATAGGACCGTTCAAATCACTGATTCTGAATCCACACACGAACTAGTGGATTTGCCTAGATCCCGCTTCTGGTCGCTTGGCAACCGAAAAGGCAAGTGTGCCTGCCAAATAATCTGCGCTGCGCGGCTTGCTGCGCCCCTTGTCCTCCCAGCCAACAGATCTCGCATCTTCGTCAGGTGAGGGGCAAGGACGGTGTTGGAGCCAAGATGGACCACATGGAGCTGGAGAGAGAGAAAGGCAGGAATCCGGATCAGATATGCATTGATGATCTATTTTTGGCAAAGGCATCCAAGTGCCAAACCCTGTGTTCCGGGAGAGGGAATCACTGTGCTTGCAAGACACCCATGCACACACACATATATATATATATATACACACATACACATGTGTATATATATATATACACGTAGAAACCCGGGAGCTCTGCGCTGAACTTCGGTGGGCATATAGAGACAGAGTGCAATTGTGAGTGACATGCTGAGAGCATTTTCGCCTTCCTCGAGCCATCGATTGCTCTGAACATGCGAGGGAAGTGCACCAAAGGGGAGAGACATGGAGAAACTCATCAACAAACGTTCGGTTATTCCAGGTGCTTTATTGCTGAAACAGGAAGTAAACAACCAATACAAGAAAGTTTTCACTTTCACCCACAATTTGACTCTTTTTTGAGGTAGTTGCTGTTACAGTAACAGCATCAGTTTGTTTCCTGCATTTGTTTGTGGACGGCTCCAAATCAAAGACAACAGAGAATCAAAGCTCCAAAGAATCCAATGACCATTACTGACCTCAAGATGCCGTAGGGCGAAACAACGCCGTTGGGCGACGTCTCTCGGGTCATTGAAAGGAGGGTCGGTGCCGGATCCCACCGATGGAAGCTCCGGTGACCTGTGAAGGCGAACAAAAGATTCGACCCGTCGAGAAACCTGTCAGGATGAGACGGGTTGATGCGGACGTTGGGAATGACATCGTTGGTTGATGTGATTTGATGTCCGATTTGGAAGGGAGAGAAGATGTGAGAAGATCTGAGAGATTAGCAGACTCAGCCCCAGTCTGCCCGACTCCCTTCAGGTGATGGCTGGTCTTTACCCATGGCTCGTGCTCGCTGCAGCCATGCTAGGCTTGCTATTGTTGGAACCTCAAGAATGTGCTTGTAATGCTTTGCTTTTTCAATGAAGGTTGGAGGCCATCGCTATTAGAGTGTGTAGTGCTTTGCATTTTCAATGCTGCTAGTGGCGGTCTCTCACTGTGGACTTTGATGGGTCGAGGGATGTCGAGGGCCTTCTCACTCTTTACATCTTTCACGTTTGTGTATATTCACTATATATATATATATTTTTCTTTTTTTTTTGGAATTGAGTGTATATATATATATACACACATTGACTTGGAAGAGTCATGTGAAACCAATCTGTTTTGAGCAGATGCCTTGATTTCCAAGCTTCTCTGAGGCTGAGTTATATTATCTATCACCACTTTGTGGACCCGACGCTTGTCACACTGTGAAGCTGGAAAGGCCTGTGCTTCCTCTAGAGAAGTGGTGCAACCTTTCTTTTCTTGCACAAAACCCCTAGTATGGTGGAGTGTCTGATGGGCTTGTGTTGTGTTGGACTTTCTTTGTCTGTATATATACTGTATATATATATACATACATATTATTCTTCCAGGTGCACTTGAGGGCTATCGACCAGTTGGTGCTATTGGGTGTCAGCACCGCAGCGTCTGAGGGAAAAGTCCTACTTTTTGGCGATGGTCACAGTGATCCTCTCACTGACGGTGGGGATTTTGTGCACTTTGATCATCCCAGTGTCTGAGCTCGCACAGAGTTTTCAAGATCACTATTAAATGTGGAGTCTCCACATTTGTGAATTGGTTTGTGATGTGTGTGCTGGGTGACATTACGATACCAAAGTAGACAGCTTGTCATGCGAAGAGGCCTAGGTAAAAGAAGCCTAAGACGTCAGGTGAAAGTGGCGGTGTCCAACCACAGAATTCATGTAGTTCAGTAAGTTTGAAGGCTTAAGCTATGAAATCAATCTGACAATGGAATCATTCAAGAAAACAGCTCATTCAACAAGACGGTAAACCATCGGCGATCACGAGACCAGCGTCCAGAACTGACATCCTCACCATGTATTGCCAGCTTCGTTGATGGAGAAGCAATACAGGTGTCTCTCCATCCCTGCTTTAGAAAATTATAGGTTCAGAAGCACGAAAAGCAGAGTTCATGTGAAAAACCCCAGACAAGCCAGAAGGCTCCCTTTGAATCCAAGGGCTGCATGCACACACACTTAAGATGGGTGCTCCGCGGAGCTGCACTTCAGAGATGCGCGGTGAGCATTAGCCCTTTATGTTACTGCATTAGCCGAGAGCGTTAGCACTTTACTGCAAAACAACGAATGAGACAGCATTGATTCTTTTACGTAGAATCATCACAGATTTCAGAATGTTTTCAAGTGCAGGTACGTCCAGAAGGCGTCCCCTTCCGGATATCACCGCGGTTCAAGGAGTGTCTTCATTGAGTGGTGACTCCAAGACCGCGTGCTAAGAAGGTAGATTAGAAGGTAGACTTAGAGGCAAGTAGAATAGTGCCCCTGGAGACACACACACACACACTCCGGAAAGCTCCTACGGAAGTTGAGTGCCACATGCCACACGCCCCGTTCTAAACATGAAGGACTCCCTGAACCCCAAAGATCTCAAAGTTCTCGAAAAAGGAAGCCGGAAGTCGACCAGCAAGTTCCGAGGGACGAATGCACATCTGCAGACCTGAACCAGCCCGCAGCAGCCTGAGGACCCCTATGACTGGAGAATGGCTAAACAGCTCAGATGCAGGTACGCCGCGTTGATCAGACTCAGTATCCCATGAGTGTGGTGCGTCCCACAAGGGTCCAGACCAAGGCTAAGGCTTAAGGTGTAGGTGTGCGCGCCTAAAGGACAAAGGGATGAAGACATGAGAGGAAGGCAAGACAAGACAGTTGAGGTGGTTGCGGTGAAAAGGAACAAAGTGACCAGGAGCAACCAGATGCCATACCTCATTATGACAACCTGGGCGACCTCAAACCAGTGTAGGATGAGATGACGAAACATGAAGCCAGGAAAGACATGAAAAGAAAGACAAAAAAGAAAGTGTGCGGGGGGAAGAAAGGATGAAAGGGGGAACCAAATCAAGGGGCCGGAAAAACGAGCCACACCTCATTAGAACGAACCTAGGTGGAAGTGGCCTGGTTTATGTACATATTGTGTGTGCACCAAAGGCCCCGACAGACTCCAATATGGGTCTTGAGTGAACTACGGCCGCTGTGGCCTACTCCTGGCATTCAGCCTACTCTGCGGGCTAATCATGGCATTCAGCTTGCTCAAGAAGGATCCGAGTCGTCAGGGCTTACAAATCAACGTTTCTCATTAGCCTCCTACGCTCGCTGCGAGCTACTCTGCTCTCCGGCCGGGAGGAGGAGACAAACCCACGTTCAACGGCGCCACGGAGCGAACTCTTTGGGCTCACTCCGGGCTGGGCCAGACACACTCGGAAAGTTCATACGGAAATTGAATGCCACATGCCATATGCCCACCTAGGTATAAAAACCAAAGAAGCCAGGACCTGAATCAATTTGCAAGAGCCTTACGATTGGGGCATGGCTGAGGCATTCACAACACAGGTGCAGGTACGCCGAGTTTGATCAGACCGGGTGTCCCATGATTGTGGTAGCTTCGTTGAGCGCGGTCCCACAATCATGCCGCGCTCCCCTGGTAGTGAAACCAAAAAATTCACACGCACTTAGATTGTTGCTCGCAAGAGCTAGGATCAGTATGAAGTCCCCCTTGACTTGATTGAACGGAAGGAACGAGAACCGAAAGGTGACTGAGTCGATGGACTTGTAGATGTTTAACAACGTTTGGAAATGCATTAGCCGTTTTACTGCAGGAAAACAACGTACTGGACAGCTTGATAACAGTTGAAAATGGCAGGTACGTAGTTTCTGGCGTCCCAGAACTATATCACTGTGCGACAGATGCGTCTTCGTTGGCTGGAGACATCTGAAGCACACTCCAGCGCCTTGAGAAACTATATGCTAGTAGCGATACCAGGAGCCCCTAGTAGCAAAACCAGAGGGCCTAGTAGCGTTCTTTGTGACTCAAAACCTTAGGCGCAGGTGTGGACACACACACGAAGCCGTACTGGCGCACTGTCCCCTGCTTGCAGTTTAGTAGCGTGGCCAGGAGCCACTAGTAGCGTCCCTACAGAAGCCCCGGTAGTACCGTCCTGGCTCCTGGTAGCGAGGCCAGAAGCCCCTAGTAGCGTCGTTTGTGTCCGCCGGTCGCAAAGCTTTGTACACATAGCGCCAATATTGGCGCTTTGTTGAAAACTACTAGCGACCTAAAAAGCCTTAGAAAGACAGAAAAAGCAAACCAAACAAAAGCAGACTAAGAGGGCCAGAAGGAAAGATAGGTGTAGTTACGAGGCCCACTTAGTTAAATGAAAGTAGAACGCGAGCGGGACGTTTTGTCTTAAACCGCCCAGGTAGCTAGCAATAGGGTAGGAGAAACAGAAGGAAAGGCACCAACGCACAAGTGTGTTGAGTGCGATTTCCTTCTGTTGCCCGAATAGCGGGTGGGATAGCAACCGAGGCCCAGGGGCAGGGAGGTAGGGGGGAGGGTGGGTTAGGGTGGCCCGTAGGCACTGCCATCGTTGGCGTGCAGGTAAAGCCGATTTGGGCCGGCGGACCCCTTGTCTGAAAGACACCTGGAACCTAAAGAGAGGCCTCAAGAAACGAAAAGCAGCAAAAAGGCAGAAAGAACCGAAGAGCGTGAAAAGCACATGCAACAAAAGTCAGTAGTTTGACATGCCCGCGTCCTAAGCCCTGCCCGTGGTTACTTAGACTGACATGAAAGTGCATTTCCGAATCAGTTCAAGTCTCAGTAAGCCCTGCGGCACAATCTCAGTAAGCCCTGCGGGACCGTATCAGGTATCATGCAAGAACAGTCAATCCAAAAAGTTCCGGACTGGAGTATGAATCACAGTGAGCCCTGCGGCATGGTATCCCCCAGGATCTGGGTCTGTGCACGTGCGGCGCCCCTTGACGGGGATCGCGCCACAGCCTTGAGTGGGACCCTGTGGCGAAAACACACTTAGATTGTTGCTCGCAAGAGCTAGGATCAGTATGAAGTCCCCCTTGACTTGATTGAACGGAAGGAACGAGAACCGAAAGGTGGCTGAGTCGATGGACTTGTAGATGTTTAACAACGTTTGGAAATGCATTAGCCGTTTTACTGCAGGAAAACAACGTACTGGACTTGATAACAGTTGAAAATGGCAGGTACGTAGTTCTGGCGTCCCAGAACTATATCACTGTGCGACAGATGCGTCTTCGTTGGCTGGAGACATCTGAAGCACACTCCAGCACCTTGAGAAACTATATGCTAGTAGCGATACCAGGAGCCCTTAGTAGCAAAACCAGGGGGCCTAGTAGCGTTCTTTGTGACTCAAAACCTTAGGCGCAGGTGTGGACACACACACGCACGCACATATATACAGACATATATATATATATACACTTATTGAAACGCGTACTGACTCAAATGCCGCTCGCCACACGGCAACCTAAGGAACCAGAATCCTGAAAGGTCAAGACAAGGGCCTGTGCCAGGCACCTTTAGTTAAAGGCCAAAGCTCAAGCTCAACGAGGCGACGGTCAGGTGGAGATGACGTCCTACGCTCTTGTCTGCCACGTGCACTAGCCCTTTATAGAAAATGAGAGTCACAGCTTGGGAACATCACAAACATTGCGGTACGTCGGAGTGATCAGCTCCGATATCCTCCCAACTCATGAGCAGCTTCGTCGGCAGTAGACTCATGAGTGCGAAAAACAATCCAAAAGGATCCCTGTGAGTGACTCCAAGGGTTACACACACACACGCGCCTCCCCGAGGGGAGGCGAGAAAAACTAAGGTTAGGACAAACGTGCGCGTGTGCGCGCAAGACAAAAAGATGAAGACATGAAGAGAGGACAAGAGGACAAAAATGTGCGTAGTTGCGATGAAGGGGAACCAAGTGCACAGGGGCAACCTCATTGTGAACAACCTGGGCGACCTGAAACCTGGGTTTAGAAGTGCAAGTAAATGCGCGCGTACACACTAAGGCCGGGACCGATGTGTGCGCAAAAGAAAGAAGGAATGAAACGCCAAGACAAGGTGAAAAGGGAAACAAATAAAGGGGGCAAGAACCGATGAAGCCAGACCTCATTGAAAACCTGTTGCAACGCGTCTTTTGTATGTGAACGCATCGCGCGCGAGGGAGGGAGGGGTAGGGAGAGAAGAGAAGAAAGAAAATGAAGAAAGGAAAGAAAGAGAAGGTGTTCGCAGCTACGACACAAGCGTCCAAGGACACACCAAGAAAAGAGAAGAGCAGGTTCCCAGCTATGACGAAAGCGTCCAGGGACACCCAAACAAGAAAGAGGGAAAAGAAAGGCAAGAGAAAAGAGAGAGAGGGAAAAGAGAAGGAAGTGGACAGGCGTTCCCAGCTGCGAGCAAGCGTCCAGGGACACACCAGGGAGGGGTGAACTTGAATATTACATTCAGGAACACCCCAAAAGGCAAAGAAGGAAGAGGGGGAGGGTAGGGGGAGGAAGGGGGGTTAAGGAGGCTGCCTGCTGCTGACCGCTTTGGTCGCCTCATGGCTTATCCGAAGACTGCCTACTTGGAATTCAATAATTCGGCAAATCTTGGCAAACAACTTTGGCTTAAGCCATCTACGCTCGCTGCGAGCTGCTCTGTATTCGGGCAGGGGATACTTTCGACAAACCCCCGTTCGACGGGTCCACAGGGGCACTCTACGGGGTCAGCCTGGGCTCTCACGAGGAGAGACACACTTATTGAAATGCGTACTGACTCAAATGCCGCTCGCCACACGGCAAATCAGGGGGCCTAGGCCAGGCACCTTTAGTTAAAGGCGAAAGCTCAAGCTCAACGAGGCGACGATCAGGTCGAGATGACGTCCTACGCTCTTGTCTGCCGCGTGCACTGGCCCTTTATAGAAAATGAGAGCCACAGCTTGAGAACATCACAAACATTGCAGGTACGTCGGAGTGATCAGCTCCGATATCCTCCCAACTCATGAGCAGCTTCGTCGGCAGTAGACTCATGAGTGGGCTACTGCCACCTGCTGTAAATTGTAACAAAGCAACAGCTGAAAAACAAGAAATGCGAAACACAATCGAAAAGGATCCCGTGACTCCAAGGGTTACACACACACACACACACACCTCCCCGACAGGTGCCGCCACCTCCAAAGTCCGCGCCGAAGGTGAAAGGAGAAAGGAATGAGGAAGGAAGAGGAAGGAGGAGGAAGGAGGAAGGAGGAAGGCGGAGTGGTCAAGTCACAGGTTGCCCCGCATGTCTCCGGCCTTAGTGTCGGCAACCGTGTCCGTAGTGGAAGGAAAGGGCAGCCGGCACCAAAGGCACCACATGCATCGGCCAGGCAAAGAGAGAGAGAGAGAGAGAGAGACAGAGAACAATGCCATAGATGCCCCCGGTCGGGGGTGTTGAAGGTGCATGTGCACGCAAAAACGACACATGAAAGGACCTGAAAGAAAGGAAAAAGGCACGCGATGTAGGCAAGGGCAAGGAATGGGAGACCAAGTGACCAGGGACACACGCATGAGCCAAACCTCATTAACGCAACCTGGGGCACCAATCAACCTGGTTTGAAGTGTAGGTACTATAGATGTGCACGTGTGCGATAAGGTCCGAAAAGTTGTGTGCGCAAAAGAGGATTGGGTGAAATGAAGAGAAGACAGAGGGACATGAAAGCAAAGCGGGAAAGGTACGTAGTTGCGAATGAAAGTGAACCCTAATGGAAAAGAACGACAAAACGAAAAACCCAAACCTCATTAAACCACCTGGGCGACCGGCCGGGTTTGCTATGTTTGTGTGTGCACGAACTATTAGATTAAGGCCCCGACAAAGACCACGCGATCTCAAGTTGCGTAACGCTGGCAATTTCTGCCCGCTGCGGACATCTTCTGGCGTAGATGATGCCCTATTTTTTGGTCTTAATTTCTTCATACAGCTCGATGACTCCCATACGGCGGCTATGTCCTGCTGTGCCCACCATCCCCGGTGGAAACTTCCCCCAGTCCTGGTGGGCCACAAACGGCACTACTTTGGGCTCACTTTGTTGAACGCGCTGTTTTCTCGAATGATTCCATTGTCAGATTGATCTCGTAGCTTGGAGCCTTTAAACTGCTTGAACTACATGAGTTTGGAGCCTTTAAGTTCTTGAGTTTCTTGAGCTACATGAATTTGATGGTTGGACCTGCCGACTTTCATTTGCCGTCTTAGGTTTCTTTTACCTAGGCCTCTTTGAGTGAGTTGTTCGTGAAGTCATCAGTATGTAGTGCCAGTTTCGTTGATGGAGAGGCGATGCAGGTGTTTCCATCATCGGCTTTAAAGACTCAACAAAATCAGAAGCACGAAGCAAAACGTTCACGTGAAAAAACATGCGATAAACCAAAAGGCCCTTTCTCAATCCAAGGGCTCCACACTTCGAACTTGGGTTTTCAGTTAACGCAAATCACGTTGGGAAGGAAGGTGAAAGAACAGAAAGGTGCATGGGTCCGAGCACTTGAAAGGTTTAACATTGTTGTCACAAAGGCGGCAGCAATCAAATCGGCGGCGCAGCTGCTGGGGACGAGTGTTTATGGGGTGGAAAACGTGAAGAACTATGAATCAAAAACGGAAGATTGGAGTAACAGCTTGTGAGAAAACGAGCAGGTACGTCGGCAAGCGTCCTTGCCGATATCCTAGGATCATGTGAGGAGCTTCGTTGGATGGAGCCTCACATGTCCTCTCCATCCCCCTGCTCATGTAGGATAGTAAGAGTGGCGGTGGAAATCCCTTTGTCCAGGGTTGGACACACACACACACACCGAGGTTGACATCTACGTGATCTCAGAAGGTCACTTGCTCTGCAGCCCTTTGGTCCCCAGCTGTTGGGCCCAAAGGGCAGAAGGGTGCAGGGCAGTCTTTGGCGGAGACATGGTGCGCAAACCAGCGTTCTGTTGGGCGATTTTAAACAGCAACGGAATTGACCGTTTTTTCGATTGCGCCATCCCGTCAATCCTAAGTGCCTTTGGATTTTCTTCCGAGGGCGCACTTTCCCAATTGAGTCCAGCGTCTAGATAGTACGCAAGGTTCGCTGCAGACCTCCTCAAATTGTGGTTAGGATTGAGACCCCACCTTGTCAACCAGCAGCAGTGACAGATCCAGAGGTTGTGATACCAAATCACATTCTCTGCAATTCAAACCCCAGTAGCAAGGACAAGTGACAATCAATGGCTGTGCTTGACTCCAAGCCAACTGGCCCACATTTCATGACAGACTCTTTGTCTGAGCACTTTGTGGGCCCAGGTGACATTACTTCTGAGTCTTTGCATGTCACCATTTCGCAGGAGGGAGAGCAAATGCAAGAGAGCATGCAAACACCAGTGCAAACGCCATGAATTGTTCAGGCTGTTTGAACAGTACGCAAAAAATATAATTGATAATTGCTTGAATCTGTGGTGGTTTAAGTGGTAGCTTGCTACACATATCTCCAACTGTTTGGATGGAGCCTGTCCCTCTGCTAAACCTTAGTTAGCAAACGATATGGCCCATGTCTCAGCCCTCCAAACATTGCTGTTTTCAATCGCAGGACCATGTCCGGGATGCCTACTTGGTTCTGTTCTCATCACTTCTGTTTATTGCGTCCAGACCCCAGCAGGCAGTTTGCGGTTTTCTCAGACAATGGTCAGAGATGTAATGTTATGATGTACTGTAGTCTAATCCTGGGAAGGTGTGTAGCAGTGTCGTCCAGCGGTTGGCTCCGACAATGCTTCAAAAGTGTGCAACAATGGCCTTGATCTTCCGCTTTCTCAAGCTGTTTTGAGGTTTTTCTTGGTACCCTATGCCTACTTTTATGGTGAGGACCCATTTGATAGAAGAAAGACATGAGCTATAGCGAGTTGCAGTTCTGCAGCACATATCTTATGATTGAAGAAAGTTGAAGCTTTCCGATGGCACGGCTCCCAACGAGCCTTTCCTTAGCCTTTGCTTTCCAAGTCGCGTTCCTGGAGGACAAAAGACCTTCCATCCATGACGACCTTGAGAAGTCGCAGTGTTGGAATGTCAGGATGCTTAGTGCTGCTTTTGGATGAACCGAACTAAAGATACCCATGATACCCCTCACATTCCCACTGCCTTTCAACTCAACAACGGAAAGGATGTCTTGCTTCTTTGATGAAACAAGTCCATTCCTTGAGCGCATCGCAAGTTGGCTTAGGGGCTTAGGACTTCATGTGCCTGTGAGACTAACGCGTGCCAGTAGATCTCTACAAAAGGTGAAAACGCGGTTTGTCTATGCGAGGAATCAAGTCCGCAACGTGCCTTCGAAGTAAACATAGGTGAACTGAGGGTGCTTCCAGCACAGGCTTGGTGCATGAGGTCAGGATAAGTAGTATTGAGCAAGCAACAAGAACGATTGGTCTTTTGTTAGTACTACTTTGCTGAGAATGATGCGTGAAAGCTCATCTGGCACCCAGAGCTTCATATCTTCGTCGTCTTCGTCGTTTGACCCCAAGAATAGGGCTACATTTTGCACTGCTCCCAGTTCCAAGAAGGAATCGTTCTGATGCAAGCAAAGCGTTGGCAAGGCTGTAGAGTCCGGTAGTTATATAGTGATACAGTCCAGAAGCGCTAGCACCAAGGAGTAGTTAGGAGTGATACGTCTACAGGCTTGGACTCTACGTCTATGCGGTTGGCAAGACTTTTAAATTAAACCGCAGAAACAGAAAACGTCACGATGCATCCATGCGATCGAACTTGGCACGGCAGGCACTGCGATCCACCGGCTTTTTCGTGGGCTTCGTTGCTTGGCGAAGAGGTCACCAGATGGACGGACGGTTGGTGTCGTCCAGGACGGCTTGGGATTCAGCGGTTAGGTGTTGAATCGTTTGAGTTAAGTTTCCCTAAATCTAGAATCTAGGAAGCAAATCATTGGGATGGGTTTTAATTCTGCCCTGCAGTTTTTTTTTCCGCCCTGTGCAGCCCTGGTTGTTTCCGCCCTGGAGGC